TATACATAGGAGAGGACGATTCGATAGATGTTGATGTGCATGAAGGCTATTTCAAACGTGGTGGATATAGTTCACTTCCAAGTATTGTCTACCATACCAGTCTCAAAATGGGTTGTAATATTGGACGACTCACCCCAGAGTATGATGCACAGGGAAATCTCCTCCAAAACCTTGGTGGCACACAAGGTCCATTTGTTGAGTTCAATAACAAGATTGGCTTTCTTACTTGCGCTCACGTACTGTTTGATATTCCTATGACAACACCATCTGTGGATTTCCAACATCCTGGGAACACTACAATTGAAGTCGTACAACCTTCCAGTGATGCAACAACGTCCAATGGTGTAGCATGTGGACATGTTTACAGAGCAATTTTCAATCCACAACTGGATCCAAGCATTGATGTCGCTGTCGTTGAATTGACTGACTCTAATAGGATCCCCAAAAAAGGCCAATTCTCTAACGCTAACCACAGTAGCCATATAGATGCAGGTATGTATTTCCGGAGTACGGAAATTTGTTTATATCAGAATTCATGAAATGTATTGTATCTAGTTCTAACAAATAACCTTTAATACCTGCGCCTCGTTTGTCTGATGTACCCTCAGTATGCAAGCCACCTTGCATGAAACTCCGTTTTGATTGGAATGAAGGTGTTTTAATTAGCGAAGCTCAAATGTATATTATTCCGTTATTATACTGAACAATCCTTCTCAATTGTTTATTAAGACGTTTTTGGCCAAAATTCCCTCTTCCTACTGTCAACTTCTTTTTATTTATTTTTATTTTCATTTATATATATATATATATTTCCCTGTATGATGTATCCGTGTGAAGTCAAATAAACATATATTGTGCGCATATTACGCATATTGTATAATGACAAATAGGAAAGAAAATAAACATATATATACATATACTATCATTTGGTATAATATCTGAACTTTTTGTTACATTCATTATACACTTTATCAACTATACACATTTATTTAATACCACGGTGTTCTTTTATTACAGGGTTCGGAGAACTTCCAGAGTACAACAGTGGATCCGTTCAGACTGATTTACAACATTTCTGTACAACGCATACAGTGGTCAAATTTGGCAGCTCCAGTGACGTCACCAGGGGAACACTTAACGTCTGTGGAGTGGATGTTAGACCGATGACGACACCGCTTGGTTTGCCTAGAGGTACAGGACAGGTCCAAATGATCAACCAGTATCAAGTGTGCGGTTCCAATCCAAGCATGACCTTTTTTCTGAACGGTGATTCGGGTTCAGCGGTGTTTATGAGAACGCCTGGAACCAATGATATGCACTTAATCGGAATGGCTATAGGATATACGTATGTGGGTACAAACCCATTCCCTGCAGCAGTTGTAACACCTATTGATGCTATATTGAGGGCGCTAGGTCCACAATATCGCATTGCCTCGTTTCCGTGATTTTATATCTACAACAGTCCTTCCTGCAATTTGTTTTGTTAGAAAAGTAAATCACATTCTAATCAATATTCTTCCAACACAGTTTGTGAGTGTTTGAGCGCATACTTTTAAATTTAACAATGTATGTTTCCATGGAGTTCTTGTGGAATATATTATACCAGTTGTAAACTGTAAGGTATCAACAGTGTAAGTTAGAAAACTACAGTCTGTGTGACTCATCTACAGGTTATGCAAAATATCTACAGTTTATGTATGTAATCTACAGTTTATGTATATTTCTTTAGTTTATGTATGTAATCTACAGTTGTTTATGTAATCTCCTGTTTGAGTATGTAATCTACAGTTTGTGTATGTATGTAATCTTCAGTTTATTTTTGTATTATAAAGTGTGTGTATGTAACATACTCTTTATGCAAATAATCTACTGACCATGTATGTTATCTACAGTTTGTGCATATAATATCCATTTTATGTATATTATTTACAACTTGTGTACGTAATCTAGTTAATAGAAATAATCTATAGTGTGTGTATATAATTTACAATTTACGTTTGTAATCTACAATCAATGTATTTTAATGGCAGTCAGTGTAATTTACCTACAAATTTTGAAGGTCAGATATAGTTGATGTAATTAATCTACATATCTTTTGAACCTGAGGTTTTGGTAGGTAATATATAGTATATGAAAGCAACCTTTAGTTTATGTAAGTAAGCTACATTTTATCTTAGTAAAGTATATTTGGTATCTTTGTATGTAATCTGATTCTACTGACTGCAGTCTTCAGCTGAAGTAGGAACTTTACAGTTCATTTAATTAATCTATACATTTTGTAATTTATTGCAGATTTATGAGAGTTATGAACAGCTTATATTGCAATTTATGAATGCAATCAACACTTTATAAATGTAATTTGCAGTCTGTGTTTGTAATTAAAAGTTTATGTAGGTAATATACAGATCTGTTTGTAATCTACATTGTATGAAGGTTCTACAATTGTTCATGTAATCTATAGATTATGTAGGTAATCCACATGTAGGTAATCTGTTTGTAATCTACAGTTTGTATAAAGGTCCTACAATTGTTTATGCAATATATATAGTATGTAGGTAACCTTCAATCTATACTGTAATCTATATTAATGTTCACGTTTGTAGTTTTCAGGGTATGTAAGAAATATACAGTGTGTGTTGCAGTCAGAATTATGTAGCTTAAGTAATTAATATACAGTTAAAAGAAGTAATCTTTTGACTTTTATTTAATCTATAGTTTATGAACATTTATGTGATTTACAGTGTATTGAAGTAATCTGCAGTACCTGTTTGAAATCTAGAGTACACGTGAGTAATATGTAATCCTGTATTTAATTCATAGCTTATCCCTATATGTATGTAATTCACAGTGTGTGTTAGTACTCGAGAGTTTTTGTGAAGTTATTTTTTTGTAATTTACACGTTATGCTTGTAAGCTACATCTGGTTTTACAATCTTAATTTTATGTAGGTTAACTAAGGATTGTTGCAAATATCTGTGTTTTGTATTTAGTTAATTATTTACACCAGAAGCTGATAGAATTATCATTCCGTACTTACGGTGTTTTTCATAAATATTAGATATTATACTATGATAATTGAGATCATATAAAATGCCGCGACAAACCAAAGTCCTTAAAATTGGTATTTGTTATTCTCTGCTTAACATTCAACAATTAGGGAAATGGCATCAATTGGTTCACCCATTACCAAACTATGTAGCCGGACGGTCTCAGAGAATCCTATGATGGGTATGGGTATCGTATTTCAGTGAAATGGCACCATTAATTTAGCATTAGATCTGCCCTTACGAAAGGAGACAATTACACCAACATACTCTGCCGTTTCCGGCACACTTACACACATGTACGCATATATCACACACATGAAGGCACGTACTCAAATGACCTTAGCTGTTGATAGGACGTTAAACCTTACAAAACCAAACCAAAATATCTTATGTCTTTAGTCTTGATATACTTAAAGTTCAAAATCAATTTCAAATCCAATCATAACCTTCCCTGAAGTGATCAGAGCCCGTTTGCATTATTATTATTTACTTTTGTTCCTATATTTTGTATGTTTTGTGTTTTTGAACTAATCTACATGTACGATTAAACAAGCACACGCACACACTGTTGATGATTTGTCACGATACTTTTACGTATGTCGTAGTTATAGGATAGACGTGTATATAAGAGTATATTCTTAATTACATGCAAATTGCATAATGTAACCCTCTTGAAATCCTTACAATGTATATCATCTTACCAATTACATTTAAAATGTCTTGCCATTTTCAGCTTCAAGATTGACGTCATAACAGTACAGTTTCGCCCCATGATATGGTTGTTAAGACTATAAATAAATTTAACATGAAGTAACCATTTTATTCGAATTGATGATTTTTTTTATGAAGCATTCTCTTTTTTGAAATATTAATATATTTCGACAGAACAAAACATCAACTTAAATTTTACCCCGTATTCAGTTGTAATTGATACTGTAGTTAATGTCACAATGAAGCGTTTTACTCATGTTACCATTTTCATAAACCACCATTGAAATTACGCGATTTGAGTCAAACATCGTATAGGAAACAACATAATAATAACAAAATAAAATGCTAAAGATGTTTGATGATATATTTAATTTTATTAAAAGTAAAAGTTATTTTAAAATCTTGAAGAAATACTCAAATACTCCAGATCGGTAGTGTAGTAAGACTTGTTGCTCAGTCAATCTGTACGAATCATTTCTGTCGTTATGCTTTATTTTACTATATGATATAATTTGTATCTGTTTGAATTGACGCTGAATGAAATTTAACAACGCAGTGTCAAAATAATTGATAATAGCATTAGCGTTTTCAACACATAATCATGTTGACATTGGTGATATATTTGAAAGTATAAGATATCAAGAAAAATGACTGTGTACACAGTAGTAATGCTTGATATTCATTGTAATGGTTATTTCAATCATTGAAACACGTATATAGGTATTCTTGTATATAGATATTCCATGTTAAGATTTTTTCCCGACAAACGTGATTTCAGATACTAAACGTCTGATGACTTATTTTCGACAAACTAATATTTGATAGTTACGTCTCTTTTAATGTGTTTGGTCTAATAATTATTGAAAGCCTATTTACAAAATACACAAAACAAATGAAAACAGTATCAATATTTGTGATAACCAGATTTCTTATATAAATGATTGAAATGTAATTTTGTTCTATGAGTGTTTTATCACTATTTAATAATGACATGTCATAAGTGAAATAACGATCACATTATGTTAAATGGAAAAACAAATTGTATGCTTATTAATGCTATATAGATGATTTACGGCATTTTGAAAATGGATGTCCAAATATTATTGGTTAAGACATGTCACGTGGTGGATTTTAATATAAACAG